TCGTTCTATTAGAGGTTTTACGGTAGATTCCCTACACTGTCCTTGTTTTGATGAACCTTATCTGAAGTGTGAACACTTTGCGCATATCAATAATAATATCATTGCAAACGAGATCAAAATAGGAAAACAAAACACAATTAATCGTCTCCCAAATGTCCAGTTTTTCCATGGACATATCTTCTCCAATACTGATCAATTGCGACAAAAATCGATTCACCCATGGCGCAAATCGCTGGAAATATGGCAAGAGCAAGGAACATCCAGTGATTGTAGTTTGTGCATTGTTGAGCAGATGGAAGTCTGAAAGAATTGGAAATTGAAGAACCCAAATCAAAAATCAAAAATACCCAGAAAAAGTTGTAGTCTCGATTGAAGTAGAATTGAAGGGTAAAGTAGAGTTTGAGAAGGTATCTTCGTAGAAATTTTGGCATGGAACTGTTAATTGTGGATAACCCCCTTGTTCCAAGAAAAGCGAAAGGACAAGAACTGGTGCTAATTGATCTGCTGGTTTGTTGAAAAGAGCTTTCAGAGTGAAGATGATTGTGGAGAAGGGAGTTCTGAAAAAAAGTAGAGGCTCAATTATGTAGCAGGTTTTGGATGTGAACTCACTTCCTGTTATTCTGTTTCATATCAGTGTCAACGACTTCTCCAGCAACCACAATATAGAATCCTTGCCATCCACAGCGGGAAATTGCACTGAAAAATCAGTATATCCATATTTGGTGAAGTTCACAGTAACCGTAAAACCTGTTCCAGAAGGACCCTTACACTGTCAAATTTGAGCTCAATGATCTCGGCTCCTAGAAGAAATATCAAAAATGTTGCCAGCAAATAAAATATTGGTGATATTATGACAGAAATTTTATCAGTTGACAGATTTCTGTTATCTCTTATAGCGATTGAGGTAAATGAGTTCAAAGTGCTAGTATAGGGCGGCCTTCTATTAGAGAGTTTTACGGTAACTTACTTTTCCAAAATAATGAAAATTGCGACGGCTGTGATATTATCCATTCCAGCATACAATACAAAAATCACAATGAAAATTGATAAAATATTCAGAGATTGAATGACTGCTTGAGTTCCAAAACGATTGGTTGGTGCCCATAGTACAAGGAACAGAATCTGAAAATATTTATTCATTTTGAACTCCAAACCAGCCCAGACTTACGCTTCCACAAGATCTCGCAAGAATATAAAAGAGTCCCAAAGTTCCGGAATTTTTCTCGAAGAATCCATTATTGACTAGAAGACTCTCGGTGAAAACAATCAAGAAGTTTTCATTTGCCATGAATCGAAGAATTCGGAAAAATTGGGCACCAACGAGACAGATGAATCTAGGTTCTTTGGCAACTTGCCAAGACACTTGAAGCGCGTTTCTCCATGTGTCTTCCTTTTTCTCAACCACTGTTTCTCCCTGAAATACTTCCACAATAAAACTTTAAAGTCTGTGAAAAACAAACTTCTTGGAACTTCTCCAATTGATGGTCCTCGTTTACAGGTCTCTCCACTTTAAGATGATATCCAGAGTATGCCATGAGTGCAGCTGAAACACAAGCGACAACCACACAACATGTCTGGAATAGCCAGTAATGTTCATTTGTATGCGGCATAGTTTCTAATGGATAAATGAGAAGACCAGCGATGATTGTGAATACTTCTCCATACACAATCACTCGTACTCGATCTTGATGGTTTCTTGAGTTTTCGACACAAAGTCCACAGTAAGCAGAAAGGACGAGAGTGAGGAGTGTGTCATAGATGAACAGGGATACAAGGAGATGAAGAGCAGTCACCCATCCAACTGATCTGGAATGAAACCGTAAAACCTGTAATAGAAGGGCTCTCTAGCTTTTAACTTTGAGCCGATTTTTTTCGGTTCCTGTCAAAGATATTAAAAAGTGTAAACTTATAAATTGCTTATCATTATAACAAAAACGTTTTGTCAGTTGACAAATTTTTGATAACTTGTATAGGAATTCAGATAATTGAGCTCAAACTTGATAATACGTTTTTCGTTATCTAAAATATTCTCAATATGGCAAGATTTCAGAATAAGTTTGTATTACTTTAATTACTTTAGTGATGTTTGGAATGGTTTTTCAAAACAATTTTCATAAAGTGTTGAAAAAAATTTCGGATAACAGAAATATTTCGGTTTTGAAAAAATCGGATTTCGGAACCTTCATAATTTTTCCAAAATTCAAATTTAAAGGAAATATGCATTCCTTTTTCCCATCGAAAATATTCCGGTCCGAATTTGCCGAATTTTTCGAAGTGTCGAAAAACCCGATTTTCAAAATTTAGTAATTCATTTCGATTTTGAACAATTTGAAATTTCGAAATCTTGGGATCTTTGGAATTTACAAAAACTCAAATTTTAAAGTAGAAATTTCATTTCTTCATCATAAGCACTTCATTCTGCAATGTTCGCAATTCACTCACGTTGACCATGGAAACCAGAAAAGCAAGAAGGACGCAGCAAACACAGGCCCAGCATAGAGAACAACTTTTCGTCGATCCATAATCCATTTCATACCACAACATCCAAGATCCTAAATGAATTTTTGTGTTTGATAGTCTTTAAGTCTCTGGTACCTGCATATATCCCATCATGGGATCGTTTACAGCGTTCCATACCAAAAATAGGATTTGCACAATTTTGAGATATGAAGGCGGCAAATGGTACTCATCAAAGAAAACCTAAAACATCATCACATGATGGAACATAATAGTTTTGATGATAAAGTCTACTGATAAAAAATAACCTGAATGTATTTAGAGG